AGTTGCACTGAAAATTATCAAAAGAAAAGGAAAAAGACTAAACACTGATTAGTAATCTTCCCGAATAAACCATTAACAAAAGAGACCCTTGACAAAAAGGTGACTGTCATATATATAAGAATAACTAATTTTTTAAAAACAATATCAAGCCAGGTAAAAACCAGCGACTACTACGTCCAGTAAAGGCAAAAATCTATTTTATTCCTCCATACAGTATATCAAGAACACATGTCCTAAAAGCATGAACCAAGCCATGAGCGGGAATAAGTTTTTGAGCGGCCATGCCTCAGACGAAAATGAACTGGAGCAAAACTCAAACAGTAAAAACCTGGCACAAACACTACTTCACACCCAACAACACCCCCCCCCCCCCCCCCACCCTATATCATTTTGTCCCATACACTGACCATACATCCAATGAGCTTGCCTCTTAATCTTTGTGCCCTTCTTTTTTTTTTACGTGGCCATTTCTTGTACACGTAAGTAGGAACAATAATGGAAAGGAGAATTTGCTTTCACAAAGCATGACCTGTTTATATAAACAGATCAAAGAACCCCCTCAAAACTCAGCTTTTAAACTATGAAAAAGCATTAACTTTTGCGTTCAGTGCCTGCTCAGACTACAATGGCGTACAATTCAATTTTCCAGCATCCAATATTATAGCAGAGATTCAGATTTCTCATCTTGTCTCGCTCTGTGAAGAACCAATAAATGTGAAGAAAAAATCTTTGACATGATAATTTTGTATTCAAATTACAAGAGATATTCAGATGAATAGCAAAAGCAAATAAATAAAAATGCATTATTGAAAAAAAAGAAGAAAATTGGTTATTTGGGTTACAGGTTTTTGCCACCAGTGTTATTTCGACACAGATACCATATCATCATGCTCATTTCACATTCGACAAGCCACTATTTGCCACTGTCTTCACGAAATTTGGAGAAATGATTTTATGTAGAGCCTATCACTCTCTCATAGAACAATGTCGGTTATTGTGGAAACAAGCAACCGACCCCAAAACAAAAGAAAGTTTCCTAAAGTTACTTTTCTACTATTTCTTAAAATGATAGTTTGTCAGTACCACACCAACACAGTTTTAAAAAAAACTTCCCCACTAAACATCAAGCTATCATCTTATTCTTTGAAATTATACTTTGTCATATTAAGATATCAAAACAATAAAAAGTAGACACCTAATAATATTCAGTTACTATCTTGTTTCTTAAATTTATAGTTTAAAAAAAAATCAAATCAACACAGTAAAAAGCTGTGCACTTAAAGTCCAATTACTATGTTAGTATTTTGCTTTTCAAAACTATAGTTTGTTATTACAACTAGTACTAGCAGGAAACCCAAGTAGATACAATCTTCTAGAAGATTACAACACAAACATGGGACAAATGGAGAGGGTTTTCCAATTCTCAATCATCCTCCCAATGACTCGGCCAGCCGTGGGATGAGCTTGACGATATGGCTCCAGTGAAAGAGCACTTTGTAACCTGCCAGACCTTTCTTCCCGAAACACTGATGATTAATGCAACCCCATCTCAACCACTGATGATTAATGCAACCCCATCTCAACCACTGATGATTAATGCAACCCCATCTCAACCACTGATGATTAATGCAACCCCATCTCAACCACTGATGATTAATGCAACCCCATCTCAACCACTGATGATTAATGCAACCCCATCTCAACCACTGATGATTAATGCAACCCCATCTCAACCACTGATGATTAATGCAACCCCATCTCAACCACTGATGATTAATGCAACCCCATCTCAACCACTGATGATTAATGCAACCCCATCTCAACCACTGATGATTAATGCAACCCCATCTCAACCACTGATGATTAATGCAACCCCATCTCAACCACTGATGATTAATGCAACCCCATCTCAACCACTGATGATTAATGCAACCCCATCTCAACCACTGATGATTAATGCAACCCCATCTCAACCACTGATGATTAATGCAACCCCATCTCAACCACTGATGATTAATGCAACCCCATCTCAACCACTGATGAAGCAACAACAGAAGGAAGCCAACTGATCAAACACATTAGACAAAATAGTGGAAAACAAAGCAATAGCACATATATCACTTGACCAACACAGACCCTGGAGAAACAAAGTCCAGAGTCCACAGAAAAAAAAAGAGAAGGGAGAGGGGGGACCATCTCAGGAACAGCAGTATTAGCAACGGAAAAAAAAATTCTGTGAGAAGACACTGGAAACCAGCAAAACTACTTGTTGGTGGAGGGCATACGGGCAGCTTGTGGGTGGAGGGTGTTACTGGTGGGTTCTTTTTTACTAGACCTATTTATCTATTTCTCTGTTATATCTGTCTGTCCATCCCACTTTTACTCAGCACTAAATGACCATTAGGGCCTACAGAGTCCAAGTACATCATGTAGGCCCTACTTCTCTGAGATCAAACCATACTCACTGGGACACACAGGAAGCTCGCTGAGACTGGGTATGCATGCTTATAGGAATACACTGAAAATATTGTCTATGGTTCAAAGGTCAGGTGCGTCTCTCTCTTCCCCCATCACCATTAACAATTTGACAATGAACATCTGTGCTTGCTCTCTAACTGTGGGTTGGAGCCTAGAACCCAAGGTAAAAAAAAGTAATGCAGAACTTTTTTGAAAAGGGAGAGCAAAGGTGGGGCTGGGGTCCAAATACACTTCAAGGTAATGATCTTTAACCTGCAAAAAGAAACAGTTGACAGAGGAGAGTGGTGGTAGAGAATTTAGAAGTCCAGTGCTGGGTCACTTTACAGTCTTGTACTTGTACTCATGCAATAAAAAGTTTACGTAAAACAACCAGCAGTTCAAAACCTCAAGAAAAAGATGTCTAAAAACAAACGATTTGACTCCCTCTCCAGTAAAGAGATATCGTCATCAGACAGGAGAGAAACACACATGTGTACAAGGAAAAGACTTCTCTCAGTCAATTCCAATTAGCCTAAACACCCACTCCACCAAGAACCTTAGAATAATTCTATTCATAAGCTCCTAACACTCCACCAGTATGCAGTCAACTGAGCAATGTTGCGATGCACTGCAGCGAAAACTGCTCGCCTAATATTCAAACAAATACTGTCTCGTGTCAGATCATGGAACACAATGTGTATATATGTATCAATACATACATGTATAGTGTTTTACCCTATAAGTATTCAACGTCTCCAAAAAACAAAAACAGAAAAAAAGGAGAAAGACAGACAGAAGCGAGCAGTCGAAAACAACCAAAAAAACCCCATTGAGACACAAATATATCCTATATTAAACTAGATATGGCTGAGAGACATCATGAGAGACAATAATTTGTCAGCAGCAGGAGACACCGGACATGTGGAGAGACATGTTACACGTACGCCGGTCAACTGGCCCGTTTGGAGATGGACATTATATACTACAGAGTACAGTGGTTTGACTCAGGCACTGAAGAACCATATCTGGCACATCAACACCTTATTCCATTTCAATAAATTCACATTTCTTTTCTTTTGTGTCATTAAATCATGATTAAAACAAAAATAGTATTGGAAAATTACATCAGAAAAGCATCAAACTTATAACATTCTGGTCTCAATGTCGTACCTAATAAAGTTGTCTTTAACAATTTGAAAATGAAATTGTTCACTGCTCTTAACATGACATGAATAAAACTTTTTTTAAACATATGACATGCAAATAAACACGAAATCAAACATAAATATTACTGTAAGGAAATTCATTTTTTCTGTAACATCAAAATATGTTATAAATACAGAACAGTAAGCATATCCTTTTACTGATGACAATTAAAGCTACAGAAACAAAAAACAAATACGTGAAAATTATCCCAAAAAATGTTTATCACTTCATAGAAGCACTCATTCATTCCACAATCTGACTCAGCTAACACAGGCGCCTTCCCTCAGGAGAGTAACTCAGTCATAACATTTTTATTTTTACAAAAGTAAGAAGAGATGCATTTATACCCTCATATTCTCAGACCCAACACAATCTCTCTTCAATATACTTGGAAGTGCGGAGAGATGCTATCATTTGAAGAAAATATCATATTTACTCCCATGATTTTAATGTAAAATGTTAGTCACATGTGTAGTTCAGGGCCCAAATATATGAGATCATTTATTTCCCACCATACATTGTACCAGGAAACAGGCAAAAGCCTCAACACCCACTCAGGAGTTGCAAAGAGTCCACAGCATGATCTTACTTATGTGACTGATTCACTGTCAATATTCTACGTCCTCACGGACACAATACAGATAATTCAGAAGGTGGGTCGCTTCGACACTGCCTACCCCTGGCCAGCACAGAATAAGTAGGTTACAGGATCCTAACTGAGTGACGAAAATACTCAATGCAAGATTTCCCACATATACTCTTTACCCCTCCAATTTCTAATTTTTCTCTAGTTTTGTTGGATATTGAGTCATGTCAAACAATGGGAGAAGTGGGTCAGTGAAGTTATTTTACTGGAGACAACATGCCACTCTCTCACTGGTTGGTTGTTTGCTAGCATTTATTATGAGTTTTACCCTGAAAAGTACCTAAACAAAGGTCTGATCTGTACAAGAGAAATAGTGAACTATGAGATTGTTTCTCCATGGCAAGACTGATCAACAACTCTTTGTTTTTATAGATAATTCTATCTTTCTATGGCTAGACAGCCACTACACACGTTCTCCGTCTTCCCTTCTCTATTCTCTCAACAATCAGACAGTGACAGAAAACTCTCTCTCTCTCTCTCTCTCTCTCTCTCTCTCTCTCTCTCTCTCTCTCTCTCTCTCTCTCTCTCTCTCCATCTCCCTCTCTCTCTTTCTTTGTCTCTCCCTGCCTCTGGACAGCTAAAGATAAAGTTGCAAACTCTCCTTCTGCCTCTCCGTAATAAAACTGAAGCTCAACATCTTTCTCCCTCTCTCTCTTTCTCTCTCTCTCAGTGTCTGTCTATCTGTCTGTCTCTCTACAGCTAAACTGAGAGCACACCTTTTGTCTTTCTCAACTGCTAAACAGTGACCACAAACTCTGGGTTGACATATGAGAAGCCGGAGAATTCACACTGGTCGAGGTTCATGATGAACAGTTTGTCCGTGGGCGTCAGCTTGGGAGCTTCAGACGTGAACTCTCGGTCAAAGTTACTGACATCTTTGCGGGATTTCTGGGAGAGAGAAAAGCAAAAATGTAAAAAGATGTCAAATAGCCCCAAAATATTATGTATTTAATTAAAATATTTGACTTACTGCTTATTTGCACTAAAAAGCAGCAAAGTAGAGCTCTACAATTATTTTATCAACAAATTACTTTAGAATTAAGAAGTAGGCCTACATGTACATTACTTGAATTTATTTGCCAATTAATGTTTCTGGTGTTTTTCTAGCAATTAACAATTTACAACGGCAGAACATGAGATAAAATTGTCATTCTCAGTGAACAGAAAAAAAGACCAGTAGGGTATTTTCATATCAATCAAAACAAAGACCCAAAAAAAGAAAGAAAAAGAAAAATATCTGCTGAATTTATATTCATATTCATTTTTGCTTTGTATCGGTGTTTCCAAAATTCTAGGGGTGGTGAGAAAGCAAATCAATAAATAATTACCAAAAAGTTCCTACTCTCACTTACTGCTAATAATATTGTTTCCAACAGTATGACATTTAGTCCAGCCTATACAAACCACAAAATCTGATAAGACTATTCTTAAAAAGTTAACTTCCTTAATTAACTTACTGCTGGATTTCCAGACTCAAAGGAGATTATATTTCCAAATTCATGTTTCTATTCTTTAAACTATGGATATTTTTTTCAAACAGCACACTCAGTTAAAACACCATGAACATCCACAGTAAAGCCAAAGAGAGGACATTTCACCATTGGGTACGGCAGTGGTATAGCAATCTCTATGTTAATTTGATGCAAGGAGTTCGAAGGAGCAAACTGTCCTCAGAGTGAACTAAAAGCCTTAAGGTATTTTTTGTTCTTGACAAATAGTAGACCTACTTAATTAAAGAAGTGGACGAGGCTATCACGTCACAGCACCTGAAAGACATATAGATCTAAGAGAAGGCCAAAACAAATTGGTTTATGCTAAAAATAAAATTGGCCTTCTCATCTTTTTTTTTAAACCTCAATTTCATAACAACATGTAAGAGCTAAAAAAAACAAACAAACTTGTGTTTCTAAAAGAAGTGCAGAATGTTCAATGAATCAGAGTAATTTTGAATAGAATTAACACTGAGTCAATGAGACTTCCCTCTCATAAAAACCAATTTGTGAAGGAATAAATCTTTGTTCTTTCATTTTTTTCATTAAATGCTACTAGCTAAGAATTACTGACGAGCCCATATAAAAGAGCATCGAACAAAAGGGTTAGAGGACTGAGGGTGGTGAGGTACAACGGGTCAGTCTAGAAAAACCAACAAACACCCACTTCCCTCTCTGTCTCAGAGGGATCACAGGGCAGCGAGCAAAACATTCACAAAACCCAGATTTAAAAATGTAAAGGTTTACTAAAACCCGGTTAAAATTTTAAAGAAGTAAAAGCGCAGTGCTGGAGTTAGCAGAAAAAAAACCCCAAACAAATTAAGCTTTGCATATTAATTTCAAGTACGGTACATAAAAGTGCTTGCCGCTCATATTAGAGCTCATGTTTCTTCAACAACAACAAAATTCGGACCCGCGTTCATTTTCTTTTTTCCCTCTTTCCGACTTTTCCTGTCAAATGAAGAAAATATACCAAGGTGAACGGGATAGAGCAATATATAATTTTATGGCATGGCATGGGTTTTAAACGCCGATTTCAACACTGTAAGGAAATTCCAGATACTAGAACTCCCTAATTTAGAGTCCCAGTCAGAAGGAAACGACCGAGGAAGCGGAGAGCCTCGATGAACACTCCCAAACAACTCAAGTTCAAGACCAGCATGACACCAACTAAATCAACAACACTCTTTATAGTATATTAGTTTTCTCTTGTATACGGACTAAAACCTCCGATCTCACGTGCACGGTGTCCTTTAAGGAACTTTTGAAGCTGGAAGTTGGGAAAAAAGCTGTGCTGCCCGACCGGGCCGGATCCCAGTTTGATTTTCAAATGGTTGAAAGTCCATCGGTACCAAATTTTTATTAATCAGAAAATCAAACATTTCTGAGAGTAAATTAATTAAATCTAAGTCTAAGAGATCTATGGAAATAAAATATGGCTATTGGAAAGGAAAAGGACACCAATTTGTGTCAGTAAATGGACAGGTCATTACTTTCAAAAGGCACAGCACTGTAGGCGAACCCCCCCCCCCCCCCCCTTAAAATTGAGTGCCCCTCAGACCGAGAAAATACAGACAGAAAAGAAGGAACTTCAAACGAAAAAGATAAGTCATGTGTGTTTAAAAAATGAACGGTTGGGCTATTCTTCACACAAAAAAACAGATGCATGGGTTATGGGTTGTAATAATCGCAGTCTTCAAG